AGGTCAACTTTAAAATATGCCTAATAAATTCACGGACTAAAAGCCATCCCAACGACTTTTCGCACCATCTCTCCGCAGCTTATTATTCACGTAGGCCACCCTGAATTTTAAGCAGGGCAACTAAAAGAGCAGAATGCGTAGACCACAGGGGCCCAGGAGTTTTTTTTTCATGAATAATGAATGAAAGACAGAGTGAAAAAGCATTTCTTAAATTAGTGAAATTGATGTAGTAGAGAAAGAACAGATGGTTTCTTAGTATTTTCCGTATTAGAAAAAGTAAAACCTGTATACTATTCTGAGAAATACCTTACTCTCTGTCCTTCATGTATTTGGTCCTATAGCCATGTGTTGAAAGGCCCACCATTTTGAGATGACTATTTTTCTAATTTTATAACTGATGGTATTATAATTATTGGGGTTATTCAGCAGGTGTGGTAGTACAAAGCATAGGAATGCCTATGTGGGACAGATGAGTATAAAGTCTTAATATTACCTAGAAAGATTGTTCATGCTTTCTACAAATATATGCTGAGTTTTTTGGATAAGATAGGATTTTTGATAAAAACTAATTCTTTTGTCCCATTTTTGCTTGTTTTTGTGTTGAGGTACATACTATAAAATGCACAAATCTGAGTGTGTAGATTGATGAACAGAGGTGTGTTTACACTCATGTAACCATCGCCCAGATCAAGATATCAAACATTTTCAGTAATTTTCTCCTTCATCTATTTCACCTGTCCTGCCATTTCCCTCCCCTATGGTAACCAACAGTCTGCTCTCTGTGTTTATGTGTCTACTTCAGTTTTGTTTGCTCATTTTTTTTGTTTTTTAGATTCCACTTATAAGTGAAACCATATGGTATTTGTCTTTCTCTGAACTTACTTCCCTTAGCAGAATACCATCTAGGTCCACCCATGTTGTAGCAAATGGTAAGATAGCATTCTTTTTTATAGCTGAGCAATTCCATTGTATGTGTGTGCCACATCTGTTTTATCCATTGCTCTATTGATGGACATTTAGGTTGTTTCCATATTCTGGCTATTGAAAATAAAGCTGTGATAAACACAGAAGTGCGTATGTTTTTTCAGATTACTGATTTTGTTTTCTTCAGGTGAATTCCCAGAAATGGAATTGCTGGGTCATATGGTATTTCCATTAGTTTTTTGAGAAACCTCCATACTACTTTCTAGTGGTTGCAAACCCACCAGTAGTGTGTGAGGTTCATTTTTTTCCACAACCTCATTAGTACTTGTTATTTCATGTTGACACTAGCAATTCTGATACTGTGAGGTAGTATCTCATTGTGGTTTTGATTTTCATTTTACTGATGATTGGCATTTCTTGATGTTAAGTATCTTTTCATGTGTCTTTTGGCCATCTGTATGTTTTCTGTGGAAAGGTGTCTATTCAGGTCCTCTGCCCATTTTATAATTGGATTATTTATTTTTGGTGTTGAGTTGTATGAGTTATTTACATATTTTGGATATCGGACCCTTATCAGACATATCATTTGCAAATATAACCTCCCATACAGTAGGTTACCCTTTTGTTGATGATTTCCTTTGCTGTGAAGCCTTTTAGTTTGACGTAGTCCCCCTTGTTTATTTTTGCTTTTGTTTCCCTTGCCAGGGGAGACATATCCAGGAAGAATTACTAATACTGATGTTTAAAAGTTTATGGCCTATGTTTTCTTCTAGGAGTTCTATGGTTTCAGGTCTTATATTTAGGTCCTTAATCAATCAATTATGAGATGATTTTTGTGTATTGTGTTAGTGATCCAGGTTCATTTCCTTTCATGTAGCTGTCCAGTTTTCCCAACACCACTTTTTAAAGAGACTGTCTTTTCCCCATTGTGTATATTTTTCCTCTTTTGTCATATATTAACCATATATGCGTGAGTTTATTAATATAACACTATTCTGTTCCATTGGTCTATGTATCTGTTGTCAGTACCATACTGTTTCAATGACTGTAGCTTTGTAGTATAGTTTGAGTCAGGGAACATAATCCCCTGGCTTTGTTCTTTCTCAAGATTACTTGGGCAATTTTTTTTTCCTGTGGCTCCATACAAATTTTAGGATTATTTTTTTCTAGTTCTGTGAAAAATGCCATTGGTACTGAATCTGTAGATTGCTTTAGGCAGTATGGCCATGTGAACAATTTCAATGCTTCCTATCCATGAGCATGGAATAGCTTTCCATTTATTTATATCTTCAATTTCTTTCATCAATGTCTTATTACACTTTCAGAGTACAATTTCTCCCTGAGTGTTTCATTCTTTTTGATGGAATTGTAAATAGAATTGATTTAATTTCTCTGTTAGTTTATTATTGGTATATGGAAACACAACAGATTTTCATATATTAGTATCCTGACACTTTATTGAATTCATTTATTAATTCTAGTAGTTTTTGGTGGAGTCTTTAGGGTTTCCTATATATATATATATCATCTGCAATAGTGACAATTTTACTCTCCCTTACCAATTTGGATGCCTTTTATTTCTTTTTCTTGCCTGATTGCAATGGCCAGGATCCCAGGACTATGTTGAATGAAAGTGGTGAGAGTGGGCCTCTTTGTCTTGTTTCTGATCTTAGAAGAAAAGCTTTCAGCTTTTTGCCATCAGTATGATGTTAGCTATGGGTTTATCATTTATGGTCTTTATTATTTTAAGATATGTTCCCTCTATAATAACTTTGTTGAGAGTTTTTATCATGAATGGATGTTGAATTTTGTCAAATGCTTTCTCAGCATCTATTGAGATGGCCTATGGTTTTTATCCTTCCTTTTGTTAATGTGGCATATCACATTTATCGACTTGTGGATTTTGAACCATCCTTGTATCCCTGGACTATATCTCACTTGGTTGTGGTCAATAATCCATTTGATGTATTTTTGAATTCAGTTTGCAAGTATTTGTTGCAGATTTTTCCATCTATGTTCATTAGGGCTATTTGTAATTTTTTTTTATAGTGTCTTTGTCTGGTTCTGGATACAAGGCAATGCTGGACTTGTAGTATGAATTTGGCTTTCCTTCCTCTTCAATTTTTTGGAAAAATTTGAGAAGAATAGTTATTAACTCTTCTTTAAATGTTTGGTGAAATTCTGTGAAGCCATCTGGTCCTGGAGACTTTTGTTTGTTGGGAATTTTTTGATTACTGTTTCAATTTTGTTACTAGTAATAGGTCTGTTCAGATTTTCTATTTTTTTTCTGGTTCAATCTTGGAAGAATGCATGTTTCTAGGAATTTGTCCATTTCTTCTAGGTTGTCCAATTTGTTGGCATATAATTTTTCATAGTAATCTCATAATTGTATTTTTTTGGTGTCATTTATAAATTTTCTTTTCAAATTTGAGTCCTCTGTTTTTCTTGATGTGTCCAGCTGAAGGTTTATCAATTTTATCTTTTCAAAGAATCAGCTCTTTCATTGATCTTTTTTATTTTTTTAAGTCTCTATTTCATTTATTTCTGCTTTGATCTTTATTATTTCTTTCTTTCTATTAACTTTGGGCTTTGTTCTTTTTCTTGTTCCTTTAGGTGTAAGGGTTAGACTGTTTGAAATTTTTCTTGTTTCTTGTGGTAGGCCAATAATATTATAAACTTGCCTCTTAGAACTGCTTTTGCTGCATCCCAAAGACTTTGCAATGTTGAGTTTCTATTTTAATTTTTCCCCAAATATTTTTTGATTTCCTCTTTCTTTGTTGACCTATTGGTAGTTTAGTACTATGCTGTTTAGCCTCTATGTGTTTGTGTTTATCCCATTTTTTTCTTATAATCAATTTCAAGTTTCATACTTTGGTGGTTTTGATATGATTTCAATTTTCCTAAATTTATTAAGATTTGTTTTGTGGCCTAAATGTTATCTATCCTGGAGAATTTTCCACTTGAAAAAGATTGAGTATTCTGCTGTTTTTGGATGTAATATTCTGTGTCTATCTACTAGGTCCATTTGGTTTAATGTGTCATTCAGAGTCACTGTTTCCTTATTGATTTTCTGTCTGGATGATCTATCCATTTATGTAAGTAGGGTGTTAAAGGCCTTCAGGCCTTCCCCCCATTATTTTATTAATGCCAATCTCTCCCTTCATGTCTGGTAACAGTTGCTCTGTGTATTTAGGTGCTTCTCTGTGGGTGCATAGATGTTTACAATTGTTTATCTTCTTGCTGCATTGAGTCCTTAATCATTAATCCTTTGTCTCTTTTTACAGTATTTATTTTAAAGTCTATTTTGTCTGTTATAAGTAGTGCTACTCCAGCTTTTTTGGTTTCTTTGCTTCTGTTTGCATGGAGTATCTTTTTTCCATCCTTTCAGTTTTAGTCTGTGTATGTCTTTAGATCTGAAGTGAGTCTCTTACAGGCAGTATAAAGATGGGTCTCTTTTTTTTATCCAGTCCAGTCACCTTAAGTCTTTTGATTGGAGAATTTAGTACATTTACATTTAAAGTAATTATTGATAGGTTTGTACTTATTGCCATTTTGCTAAACATTTTCTGGTTGTTTTGTCATTTTTCTCTGGTCCTTTATTCTCTTGCTCTTTTCCCTTGTGTGTGATGACTCTTTTTTGTATTATGGGTAGATTCCTTTTATTTTCTGTGTATCTATTATTGGATTTTGGTTTGTGGTTACCACGTGGCTTATATATGCCATCTTGCATATAAAGCAGTCTACATTGACATGATAGTCACTGAAGTTCGAACACATTTCTAATAGCACTACATTTTTAACTCCTCCATGTTTTATGCATTTGATGTCTTCAACCCGTTTTATTTAGTGATTACCTTAACTTTTATAAATAGTTGATTTTACTATTTTTGTCTTTTAATCTTTGTGTGTGTATATATATATGTGTGTGTATATATATATATAAGAATAAAAATGATTATTACTAAATGGTAAAGATAAAGTGGTAAATTATACTGTCTTCAATTTAGGAAAGAAGTGTACACTAAATTCAGAAGTCTTGTGTGTGCACACACATATTTATTTAAAGAATCCCTTTATGCATTTTACTCCTTGGTGTGGTTTTTCAATCTAGAATAGACTTATGAGTATTTTTCAATTTAGAATAAAATTAGTAGAGTACGTGTGTGTGTGTGTGTCACAAGACAAAATGCATTTCTAGTGGGTCACAGTCAGTATAGTCAGAAAATTACCGCTCAGACCACTGCCCTTTCGGAGCCTTGGGGGGAGCACTGTTTCTTACTGCTTGCTGACTGGGCATATATCATCAGTCTCAATCACATCAGACCCAAGAGCTGCTTTATTTTGATTGTTCTGGTTTGGAAGCTTTGGAAGGCATGGATTGAAGGAGCAGTAAGAAAATCTGTTTAAAATGCATTCCACACATAGAGAAGCATGACCCGAACGCCTGAGGCATCACCTTTAGGAATGCCCGGAATGTCCTGGCCGCTGCCTCCTTGCTCCGAGGGCATGAGTGCAAAGGGCTCTCGTTTCCATCCCAAGAGAAAACTGTGGGCTGCTTAGCAAAAACTAAGCCATGAAGATGTATCACTCTGCCTGACCTATGCCCGAGCACGGTTCACTCCCAATTCTTTGGACCACACACACCACTCAGCACATCTCATATTAACCTGTGACTCCAACCAGAGTTTCAATGCCTGAAGCCGTTTTCAGGTTTTCCCGGCTGTGTGCAGGAAAGAGTGATCATAGCATGTTTCCTCTAATCAGTGATTTAGGTAGCTAGAGCCATTTCTGGGAGACCATCACTAGATTTATAACAGGCATAAATCCAACCCATGTAAAGAAGAAACAGATTGAAGTCGGAAGGGCCAAGGAGCACAGGTTGCTCTCCCAGCAGGGCCCAGCTTCCAGTTTCTCCTTTGGCTACAAGCTGGAGGCCGGGATCCCGAGTGGGCAGGTGCGGGAAGCCCTGCAGAGGCCCAGGACGCTCGGAGCGTGTGGGAGATCGCATCATCTGCAGACTCAGTGTTACCATAAAATAATAAAGGGATACCCATTTGAGCGACACGGTGAGGAAGCACAAAAAGAGGAAAATGGCACTTATGGCTGTTCTGAGGAACAGAACTGGGTGAAATACTTAATTCCTTAGAAATTGGGAAAGATGCCCCATACTTCAAGAGGAACACTTCCACAGGCCGCCCATGGCTGCCGCATGATAAAGCAAGTGGTGTGTGGGATAAGTCTGCATGCTTTATTCCCTGCTTAGTTGAGCTTCAGCAAACTATATTCTTTTTTCTAAGTATCCACTTACGAACACTGTTAAGATTTTCAGAGTAAATAGGGCATGCATTTTTTTTGCAGTAAAATTTTAAAACAATAGACTTATCTCTTTTATATGTTGTGAATACATTTCTCGTCATGAATATATAATGGCTACGCTTCAACTTCTAAGTGAGGTAGAAAATAACAAGTGCTGAGAATGCCATGCACTTTACCTTCTGCTCCTTACACTGTCCTACTTTCTTTGGTATGGGTATTGGGGGCAATGGTCTGAGGTCTTGGGTAAACTTTTCTGTGGAGGTTCCAAGTTAAATGAGACAAGGATGCAGCCAGTGCCTGACTCATCTTCCCTTTGTTTCTGCAGTGAATGGGAAGGTGGGCAGTGCATGGACAGAGGCTCTGGGATCTGCCTTGTGCCCAGCACATGCGGAAGGGCCTAGTGCTGAGCCTTGCACTGCCTCCGTGGGCGGGGCTCCCGCCTGTGCTCTCACCACTTCTCCTCTCCCTTCCCCAGGCTTCTTCCTCCATCAGTTTCCTTCAGCTTTTCTACTATGGAAATTCCGCCTGTTACTTCTTTCTTCTCCAACTTAGAAAGATTTTTAAAGCAATCTGCATGCCCTTCCCTTCTAAGGCCCACAAGTCAAATGGGTGCTGTACATAATCCCTATTTTAGTGGGGCAACAGGTCCAGAGAGATCACGTGTTAACACCTGGTACACGTGATCTAGAGTGTGACTCCCACAGAGATTAGAGAAGGGATTCATAATGCTGGGTTGCTCTCTGAGATCAGATGGATGAAGTACTGTAGTTATTATTAACTACCCTTTGGACAAATCATGTTTTTTTTTTGTAACAGAAACATTGACTATGAGAGATGGGTGATAATGAACTACAATTGAGAAAACGGACTCTCGTCTTAAAAACTGACCACAGACATGCACATTGGTGACTAAATATTTGATTTGACCTCCAGGTTTCAATCTCACATATATTTGCATAAATAATGAAAAATGAAGAGGTTCTCCTTACATGGTGGATGGGATGGCAGCTTTTGTTTTGGTTTGCAGGGTAGAAAAGGGTAATATAGGAGAGAGTCATACAATAAAAGAAACATGAATACATTTCAGTGTCCCAGGTGGTCTAGCCCACTGGGGCAGGGACCCTGTGCACTATCTGCCTATCTGCCAAGTGTAAGGGCCTAGAATCAGGGTGGGAAGGAACTCAGGCACTATCTGTGCAGCCCCTTCCATGTTCTAGCTAAGGAGAAGGGGGTTCCAGGGCTCTCTAGGTGAACGTCTGGAATAGGCAAGAATGTGGGCTTTCAGATGTAGGTTTCCTAGCACACAGTGGTCACGTATCCCCATAGATTGTCAAACTCCTTTTCTGGTCATTTGAACAAACTTGTGGTCCATGAACCATAATTTTTTCAGTCTGAGGCATGTCAGAAACAGTTCAACTTTTATGCTTAAGTTTCCTCTGCACAACATTTTCAGTCTAGGGGGCATTATGATGAGGGTGGTTTTGATCTGTCACTCCATGAAAGCATAGCCCCTCACTTTAGAATCTGAGTTTGGGGTGAATATGTCAGGAGGGCTTTCTGAATTGTCATTTATCTTTCAGGCCATTTCTCTTTTCACCAGTAGCTTACATAACTCTGTTTTCAAGTTTAGTAGTTAGATCAGAGATTCTTGATCTATTTTTGAAAGACAATACCAAAGACAGTAATAAGGCCGGGGTGAAATGGTGCAGTCCTAACATCCCAATCTGTATTATATACAGGGTAATACAGATTGGAATCTTTTTTATATTATAAACAGAAATCTAATATTAGACACGCAGAAGTAGCCCTTGGTGTTAAGCATTTAAGGATGGCCAGGAGGAAGGTTATGTGCTGGACTCCAAGGATCCTCAATGGAGCTTTCTCAGCTTCAAAACTAAAAGCAATTTCCTAGGATAAATGGAATGATTGATAACATAAGAACAATCAGTACTAAATGTTAGAGTGAAATGATCCACATTAGCCTTGCAACTGAGTGTAATGGGGCTTGTTTACTTTCTTGACAAATAATGATCTTTCCCCTTCACTGTAAAATTGAGATCGGTCATTTACGTTACCTGGGTCATTTAAACATTAGCATCTTTAAGACTAGTGGGTTTCCCATGGAGAAGTTGAGATTCGTATAAACCGAGATGAAGTATTCTTGTTGAGCAATAAGCATTGGCAAACAGTTAACCGGGGGCACAGCTGTGGATGCCAGCTGCCGGCTCAGTGTTTGATGGCCATGGTCCAGAGCAGGGGATGGTCCGTTTCCACGGTCACAACACCAGATCCGTCGTAGGTGTTGGAAGTACTGACCAGTGTTCCAAAACCGAGCACATCATTTGCTGTTAAGAAAGTAGGAAAAAATTATTGAGTGAGAGTCAACCTTTCTCCAGCATAGACTTTGCCAGCAGTTACCAAACGGATAACTAGCACGGGCTTTGATATAAGGTATATAAACTGCAAGACTGGTGAAATACGTGAAGTGGGATTGTAAAACGGAAAGTTTCTATAACTTGGCTTAACCACTCTTCCTGGAGCTGGTTACTGGTTATTAACCAATTTGGGGTACATACCATCCTCATACAAAATTTCATTACGATTTTGTCTTTTTTTCTTTACTCATTATAAAGCTTAAAGCCATTTCTGTAATGTCCTCCTCCCTTCCTGGCCTGGGTGCAATTATAGTTTTTCCTGATGATGTAGAATTAACATTTCACATCAATTATTAAACTCCATATACAGTTTTAACTTCAAATATGAAGGATATGGGGCAGAAAGCTAATGACTTCAAAAGACATGGAATTTTGGTTATTTTTTTTCCTCATAAATTAAGAAAAGCCAAAATGAAGAAGAGTTAAAAGTTAATAGGAACTCAAAGGTCAAAGCAGACTTCCAACCGCGTGATCTTCAACAAGCTACTAGGGCTCAGCTGTAAAATGAGGGCGAGAGATGAGATAATCCTCTAAACTAATTATCAAACTAAAGGCTTAAGAGCTCAATTATATAATAGGATGTGTCTATTTATAAATGATATAAATATGTCCATAGAAATATGTATTTTTATTTTCTAACAAGTTGACTGAAGTTAATGCCTATGCTCTGGTGACCTCACTTCCTTTTCCCTATGTAAGAGCAGTTCATGCCGTTAACATGACTAAGTTCATGGCTATCCTATAAACATCCCTTGATAATCTGTATTATTTTTTGCTAAAATTGTAAGAGGCAAAAGCTCGACAGCAAATGTATGGAACCCACACTGTCAAAGTCAGAACGCCTCTTTTCCTTCAAAGCATAATTATGAAGTTACCCTGTTTTGAGGGAAATAATTCAATTATAATGCTCAGTTCCCACAAGAGGGAGCCTCTTATCTTTCTGAGGAAATCTTGAAAAGACAGTTTAAAAATTCAGAAGTAGTATTACAGGATAATGTATTACTGGTTAACACAATGACAGCTCAAATTATTTTCATAGTTGTCAGCACCTTTACTAATGTAAACGCGAAGTTACAAGGGAAAATTATATAGGAATACAGAGTGAACCTTCTGTGAATATTACCCTAACGTATCCTTCGGTATAAGAAGCTTTTGCCTTGTCAGTAATCTGGAATTTTTCTGAGATGAGGTTTCTAAATGATATTAATATGCACGTAAATTAATTTACAAATCCAGACGCTATTACATGGAGAGTGGGCTAGGGTGGTGGTCATGGAGGGGTTCACAGCAAAGTCAACCTGGAATCTGTCAGACAACAAGCGTGGCTCTTGTGAAGGGCAGCCTTGCCTGGCACCAAGGTGCATGGCAGGTGCCTCCTGACATCCAGCCAGGCCTAGGATTCCAGGTTTCTCCCAGTGGCTGACAGGAGAAGGGTTGGGGAGTACTTTGATCACTTTAAACCATTTATTCCTAAAGGCAATTTAGGATGCTTTAATGGGCCTGCCAGCTTTACAGTGGCAACTCCCTAGTGAAGAACAAAGTATGTACAACCCACCTGAATATGGTGCAAAACATTTTAAGAGTGTGGAAACTGACTAGATTAAAATTCCAGTCTTTACCTGGGCTCAAAGGATCAGAGCCCAAAATCATTTCTGTACTTTGGAGTTACATATAAATTCCCTTCTGATTTTCTGAAGGCAGACTCTGGATTTCAGATTATTAGGGGTAGACACATTTTATACATAGGTTTTTCTAAGACATTATTACATCCCAATTAATACTTAAAGAGGGAAAGAGTTGAAATGGTTTTAAGAGAGCAGAGAAGCTGCAATTTTTTGTTTGCAGGAAACATTTTTTTGAGTTAAGTAAGGCCATTATTATCCATACTTAGAAGTTAAAATTTTATTTTATTTTGCAATGTTTACAGTTTCACCAAGACCAGTTATTAAACGAGTCTAGTTGGCTGTGGGATAATATAACAAAGCAACAAAAGACATTGGTTTCTCACAGTTCAGGAGCCTGGGAAGTCCAAGATCTGGGTCCCATATAGTTGGGTTCTGGTGGGAACCCTGTTCCTGGCTTCCAGAGAGCAGCTTCTTGCTGTATCCTGTCATGGTAGAGAGCGAGATCTCCTCTTTCTTCCTATTTTTATAAGGGCATCAATTCTGTCAGGAGGGTCCAATCCTCATGACCTAATCCAATCCTAATTATTTCTGAGACGTCCCACTTCCAAATACAATCACAGTAGGGATTATGGATTCACCATATGAATTTGTGGGAACACAAATATCCAGTCCATGACAATACAATCGTAATTAAAGGTTATAATTAAATGCATGTGGTTATTTCCATCTTTATGGAAAGTACAATAAAATGATTGAAAACTAAGAAGGATAAGTTGAAATACAAATTCATGAATTTCAATTATAATTATCACAATAATTATTTTAGAGTATATTTTTTTCAATCACGTTTTTAGACAAAACCTTAAACAATAAAAAATATTTTTTATTTCTTTTGAGGAAAACATTTGGAATTGTAACTGAACTCTCTCACCCCAAATATTTCAGGGTCAGTCATGAAGTACAGTACATAAGATTGGCAGAGAGACTACTTCCCTTAGGAGAAAAACTGATTACTTCTTAATACTTTTTCTTCCCAGTTTTATGGGGATGTAATTGAAATACAACATTGTATAAGTTTAAGGTGTACATCATAATGACCTGAAGTAGTATTACAGGATAATGTATTACTGGTTAACACAATGACAGCTCAAATTATTTTCATAGTTGTCAGCACCTTTACTAATGTAAACGCGAAGTTACAAGGGAAAATTATATAGGAATACAGAGTGAACCTTCTGTGAATATTACCCTAACGTATCCTTCGGTATAAGAAGCTTTTGCCTTGTCAGTAATCTGGAATTTTTCTGAGATGAGGTTTCTAAATGATATTAATATGCACGTAAATTAATTTACAAATCCAGACGCTATTACATGGAGAGTGGGCTAGGGTGGTGGTCATGGAGGGGTTCACAGCAAAGTCAACCTGGAATCTGTCAGACAACAAGCGTGGCTCTTGTGAAGGGCAGCCTTGCCTGGCACCAAGGTGCATGGCAGGTGCCTCCTGACATCCAGCCAGGCCTAGGATTCCAGGTTTCTCCCAGTGGCTGACAGGAGAAGGGTTGGGGAGTACTTTGATCACTTTAAACCATTTATTCCTAAAGGCAATTTAGGATGCTTTAATGGGCCTGCCAGCTTTACAGTGGCAACTCCCTAGTGAAGAACAAAGTATGTACAACCCACCTGAATATGGTGCAAAACATTTTAAGAGTGTGGAAACTGACTAGATTAAAATTCCAGTCTTTACCTGGGCTCAAAGGATCAGAGCCCAAAATCATTTCTGTACTTTGGAGTTACATATAAATTCCCTTCTGATTTTCTGAAGGCAGACTCTGGATTTCAGATTATTAGGGGTAGACACATTTTATACATAGGTTTTTCTAAGACATTATTACATCCCAATTAATACTTAAAGAGGGAAAGAGTTGAAATGGTTTTAAGAGAGCAGAGAAGCTGCAATTTTTTGTTTGCAGGAAACATTTTTTTGAGTTAAGTAAGGCCATTATTATCCATACTTAGAAGTTAAAATTTTATTTTATTTTGCAATGTTTACAGTTTCACCAAGACCAGTTATTAAACGAGTCTAGTTGGCTGTGGGATAATATAACAAAGCAACAAAAGACATTGGTTTCTCACAGTTCAGGAGCCTGGGAAGTCCAAGATCTGGGTCCCATATAGTTGGGTTCTGGTGGGAACCCTGTTCCTGGCTTCCAGAGAGCAGCTTCTTGCTGTATCCTGTCATGGTAGAGAGCGAGATCTCCTCTTTCTTCCTATTTTTATAAGGGCATCAATTCTGTCAGGAGGGTCCAATCCTCATGACCTAATCCAATCCTAATTATTTCTGAGACGTCCCACTTCCAAATACAATCACAGTAGGGATTATGGATTCACCATATGAATTTGTGGGAACACAAATATCCAGTCCATGACAATACAATCGTAATTAAAGGTTATAATTAAATGCATGTGGTTATTTCCATCTTTATGGAAAGTACAATAAAATGATTGAAAACTAAGAAGGATAAGTTGAAATACAAATTCATGAATTTCAATTATAATTATCACAATAATTATTTTAGAGTATATTTTTTTCAATCACGTTTTTAGACAAAACCTTAAACAATAAAAAATATTTTTTATTTCTTTTGAGGAAAACATTTGGAATTGTAACTGAACTCTCTCACCCCAAATATTTCAGGGTCAGTCATGAAGTACAGTACATAAGATTGGCAGAGAGACTACTTCCCTTAGGAGAAAAACTGATTACTTCTTAATACTTTTTCTTCCCAGTTTTATGGGGATGTAATTGAAATACAACATTGTATAAGTTTAAGGTGTACATCATAATGACCTGACATAGGTATGCATTGGGAAATGATCACCACAGTAAGTTTAGTTAATATCCAATATTTTTCCTTGTGATGAGAACTTTTAGAATCTACTTTCTTACCAACTTTTTTAAAATTAAGATATCATTTATATATACTCTTATAAAGGTTTCACATGAAAAACAATGTGGTTACTACATTCACCATATCATCAAGTCCCCCTAATACCTCATTGAAGTCACTGTCCATCAATGTAGTTTCTTACCAACATTCAAATATACTGTACAGCATTGTTAACTGTAGTCACCATGCTGTACCTACATCCCCAGTACTTATTTATCTTGTAACTCTAAATTTGTGTCTTTTGAACACCTTCACCCAATTCCCTGCACATCCCCCACTTGGCAATCAAAAAGTCTAATCTCTTTTTCTATGAGTTTTTAGATTCCACATAAGTGAG